CTTAAATGTGCTATGTGATACACGATTGATACGATTTTCATGTATATGAAGAGTATGGCCAATATGCTTATTACAATCAGATGTATTGAACTTGGTATTGAATGCATAGGAAATCATCAGATTAAGTGTGGTTATGTAATAAATATTTTATATTTTTCTATCTCCGACCAGATCACCATAGCGATTCACACCTACACGCGTAAACACCAACCTAAGGCTTGCCGATATGTCCTTGTGCTAGAAGTATAATATAAAGGTCTGTGGTCTAGGAAGGCTGACACTTATGTCTCATATAATCGAAAAAACGGCGTCCAGTTGGCTTGGAAATGACGATCCTTGACATTCCCTATATAATTTTACATATAAAAGACACCGATCTTCATTTCATAGCCATCACTGACGCCGTTTTTTTTTCGATCATATTGTACCTACCACATGGTACATACCTACCTATCTCATATATCATATGCCTTATGGTTTTAAAGATGATAAATTGTCTTTTGTATTATGCGTATAGCTGTAATTCAAAAGAAATACATTTCGTAAAATACCACAATGTTATAGTGAATAGATTCATAATAAAATACTTACTAGTTTGCTTTTCCAGTTTAACGGTACTTATTTATCAGTTTTTAATCAGTTTTCCTTTGAGTTTCAGATTTCTTAACCTTAAAATTTTCACTCTTTTAAACCATCTCATTTTTGCTCATATTTTTATAATTACTTATTATGCCTAATACATGCCCGTGCTGTTTCCTGAAGAATGAATTTTTGTAAGCTACGATCTTGCAATTAAAACAATATCACATACCTGGAACCTGAAAGGACATCATGTGGGAAAAATAATTAAGAACATTTTTTCCGCAAATCACGGCTAATTTATTTTCAGGAATTTGTGGATAGCTTAATATTTTCTAAAAATTGTTAATCGTTTTACAGCTTTTGTTTGAATACATATTATCTAGATACACACCTGAGATTTCAACCCATGTAGACGTATTCTTATATAAAAAACACATTATCAAAGGTAATCGTGTTGCTATCACTTTCATTTTGTTTATGCTTTATTTGTAAATATTTCCGGATTATTTTATATCAGGTTCTATTACATTATTCATAACATTATTCGTCAATGTTCATAAAAATTATAATTTTAAACTTTTTCTGAGGTTAATCTTGTCAAATTCCAAAACAAAACAAGATTGAAAAGTATGCGACGTTGACAGATTTAATACGTTAGCCAGGACAAAATTCCTGAAACAGGAATTTTTAGGACTACCGAACATGCCCGAAGTGACGTTCGGTTGGTAGGACAAATACCCCGTAGGACGAATACCGCCACCTCGGATGGTCGAGCGAACGAACGAACGAACGGCCGCATGCGTTCGGTCCCCGTCTAAATATACCGCACTTTCATTCGTTCGTTCGTTCGGATAACGAATACGCACCTTTAGACGACGCATGGTGTCATTGATGACGTGCAACGAAAGTTGTTCCAATTTCCCTATATATAAAATGCTAATGTTTATCTGTGTCACCCCTACTGAAGTAACGACTTGCTCTAGAAAGTTGCTTTTTTACTAAAAGATAGCTAATTGGCTCTTCTAAAAACTGTCGTCGTCGGATTTTTTGTTTTTCATTTAATTAAAAAAAAAAAGTATTTTTTTTCCTGATGTGGCGGATGCGCCTGGCTTCAACTAGTAATATACAGGCCCGGCAATGGATCTCTAGGCATAGGAATTACATGCATTGGAATGAAACGCCTATAAAAAGTCTATGCTTAAACAGAGATGGACAACAACTTCCCCGTTTCCACTTCCACTACGACTGTCTACTTAGACAAACTCCAATAAGATAACAAATTTTGGAAATTCCGCCACCTCCATCCACTCATGATACCCATCTCCCTGCCCTTTATTTATCGCCATTATTTTATTTCCCTTCCCGCGCCTCCGCACCTCGCTATTCCGACTCCCGTCAGTTCATCACAGAGTTGCCAGGTCTACCGGTTTCGTCTGTAAGCGTTCGTTTTAAAGAAAAATCTAACGATATACTCAACTGCGTCTTTAGTTTTTACAATAGAAGCACTTTTAAAAAGCTGACTTATTTGACTAAAAATTAAGCGACTGCCGCGTTGGAATCTGTATAATCTGACTTTATTATTGTTTCATTAAATTTTATTTAGTAATAACACACATACAGGTCATCGTTCTGTCTAGTTGCAGAGTTACAGAGATATTCCTAAAATCCTTATTACTCCTTATTAGGCGCGGTATTGGCGACATGCCCGAAGTTGATATCTTTTGAAAAGATTTTATTTCATTCATCTACTAAAGTTGAACCCATATTTTCCCCCAAAAAATGTAAACAAAAAACAAAATTTAAATTAAGAAACAACCTAAATTCGGACAAATATTTTAGTGATTTTCCCATCAAAAAATATATTAATATGAAAAAAGAGTTGAGAGTTGCTACAGCTTTCCCACTGAAATGAAATTGATTTTAGATATCACTGATCAAAATTTGTACAAAGGTAAAAAGTGACTGCTACACTAATTTGTGACTGCTATCCCTACTTGTTATAGTTTTATATGTTTTTATTAATATATTAATATTATTTAATTCAATATTTTTTTAATATTAAATAATATACCTAGCTATTTCTAATTCTTGTTATATTTATTATATTTGTATTTTATTTGAGTGATCTATTATTACGACACATAGGAATGCTAATTTTGGACTTAAATATTATATTTTATTTCGTTTCTGTACTTTCAATTTTTGTTGAAGATCTACCGAGAATTTTGTTCTCGTATGGAATTATAATCTAACAAACCCGGCAACCCTGTTCGTCTACTCCTTATAAAGTTTTTTTCGGAACTAATTCCTTTGTCACAGCCGCGGCTTTAGAAGCGCCGCCGCCGACCGACTGTGTCGGGGCGACTGCTAGGAAGATCGTAAAGTATTGCCATTTCATAGAATTGCACTTGCTATTTTAGAAATGATATCAAAGTTTTGCATGTTACTTTTCGTTTTAGAAAGAAGTTATGTGCCTAGAGAAAACATTCGTAAAATTGTTTCGTACTTTATTTAATATTTCATTAAGTAGGCAAGATAATGGGATTAGAAGATTTAGAATTTTGACAAGCCAACATAATTTCGATTTAATTGAATGGCAACACTGTCCGTCCTGTTTCTATTTTTTCGATTCTGTTCTATTAGTAGGCGGTAGCCCCCACACAAGCGTCTTAAAGACCCGCCCGGCGCCCCCTCTCGCAGGGGCTCGCTCGTCGTATCACTTCTATGATCACTTCCCCTATACGATGGTAGGGAAAAGACACTTTATCCGTCTCTGTTGCACTGCAGTGTATTTTGCAGCCTTACCATCTTTTTTTATCGCATTGAAAACCTCCTATTGCTAATATTCCTTTGCCAGTAGTGTATAACTGAATTGTGCTTTCCTGAAGAGATCTTTTGTACACACCGTATTTCGAAAATATAAAAATTATTTTTGCTGGTGTTTGTATACAGGGTGCTACAAATTCGAGGTAAGAGCATGGGTATCTCGGAAACCGCAATAGATAAACCAGGCCAACTTAAATTTTTTTAAATACGAACCTGCATTTTTTATTTCACGTTTTGGAAGAACACTGAAAGAACTGCAATGATATGCCACACTTGTTTTTTTTGTTTTAGACATTTGAACATAACTTATTTTAACTATGTTCAAGTCCGGCTCTGTTTTTTAAGTATATAATCTATTTATCATTAATATATTGATAAGCTTACAAACTTAAATATGACGTGTGGTAAAATATTGAATAAGGAAAATCAAACGCAACAAAATAATAAAAAATCATATAAATATGATATAATATAAACAATCAAATTATTTCTCCGGAAGATTGATTTGAAATAGTAGAGCAGTATATGACCAGCGAGGTGACCTGTCGCCAAGGGGGGGACGGGTGTATATTACTAGACTTCATTTGTAAAAGTGAAATCAATACATTTCAACATTGTTGCGATGAATATAATCAGATTAAATAATTAAAAAAACAGAGTCGGACTTGAAATTATTTTAAACAATAATAAATAAATAGTTTTCTTATTGTTAAGGTATCCAAAACAAAAAAAAAGTATCAAGTGTGCCGTATCATTTTACTCAGGAGACCGAGTTCTTTCAAAACCTGAAATAAAAAATGCAGGTCCGTTTAAAAAAAAATAAGTTGGCCTATGTATCTCACAAATAATTATCAGCTAATTTGAAAATCTAAAAATACTATCAGATAGCCCTGATAAAGTGGCTACCAGAATGTGTAACTAGTTTTTTTATTTTCTAAAAAACAACGTCAGGAAAAAATAAAATTGATTTTCAAAAAACCCGTTTTTTTTTTTCAAAAAAAACTTTGCGATCCTTGAAATTTTTATAGCCTTTTTGATGGCATCTTGGTGAACATCCCAAGGAGCAACTTTGCCCCAAGTTAATCATCTTCGTATCTATTACGGTTTCCGAGATACAAATGCTCGTACCTCGAATTTGTAGCACCCTTTATATATACTTTTTAAAAGAGTTCAATTAACACAGATTATATGCATAACGGAGATTAAAATTTTATAATATCCTTATGATAGCAAGCTTTGTCACGCAAACAATTCTCTAAAGTAATTGGTAATATTTTTGTCTGGTTGTTGTGCATTAAGCAGAATTCAGAGTTCTATAGTCATAAGTCCTAACGTTGGAACTTTTAGAAAGAAAAATTAATAATTAACAAAACATATTAATCTATTAAAATGTTCCGATATATTTAAAAAAGCATGTGGTGTATTAAAAAAATACATTACTTGCAACTTTCAATTTTCAATAACCCAAGACGATACATACATGATTTTGTTATTGACCAGTTAATTTGTTTAGCGTAACGGAGTATCGCTAACGAGTCAATTCGAATGGTATAGTTAAAACAAGTCTGGCGGATACATAAACATACAATTACCTTAATAAAGCTAATGGGTATAGTCTGTTTGGATTTGCTATAATGCCGCGCTACTTTGTATACCGTTTCGGGTATGTATTCCAAAACCAAATTCAGGTACACCTCATCTTTCTGAAACACAAATAAAGGCACATTAATTTAGGATATAACAAGTCGGTTCATTAGACAAATTATAAAGAATACTCACAATATAGGGAATAAGAGAATACAGTACATACAAGATAACACAATAATTATCTAAAATAGATTTACATCATGAAGGGTGAATTTTGAAGAAATTACTTATAGATTTATGTTGTTGTAAAGTGTTGATTTATAAGCAAATTTAAAAGTACTTAACTAGATATGGTAAAAGTATTAACTTCTCCATTGAAATTTACTCATAATTATAGGATTTTTAGAAAGAATAGGGGTGTTTAACATGAATTTAAAAAAGACCTCTTTATAAAAATTAATATTTTTGCCCGTTAGGGTAGGGTTGCCAACCGTCCTCTATTTTGAGCACAGTCCTTTTTTTCATCTCACTGTCCTCTTTTCTCTCACGTATTGAAAAAGTCCTCTTTTTACAAACCAAACTCAAAATCTAAAAAATATTCGTCTATTGCCACAATGGTTTAGAAAATTGTTAATCTATATCTTTCACTACTCCCACTCATTTGTACAGAAACGAAAATGAAGAAATATTTATGTACAAAAAATATTTGTGGAAGCGATAAACATGTTTAACTATTTTATCTTTACTTATGTTGGCTTATTTTTTGAAAAAAAAGTTTTGTTGAAACTGGTTTGTTTTATTTTAACAAGTTTTGCATATAAATTAATTAATATTTTTAAGAAAGAAAGAATAGGACATCAACTTAGAGATAGCATACCGTTGACATAACTTTTTGATAAATTCTAGATATTTGGGCGATGTATCAAAAAATGTTTCACCTGGCCTCTTTTTTACCCTCTCGTCCTCTTATTTTTTATTTTGAAAGTTACCCTACGTTAGGGGGCATCAAACTTAAAAAAATAAACACATTTTTTAAGATATTTTAAGAATATATTATTATTTATACCGTTATTCCGATTTGAATGAGATTTAGGGAGCCTATGTTTTCATAAACGATTTTAACATTTTACTTTTACAAAACACAAGAAAAAGTAGGGAAAGGGTGAAAAGTACGCCCACCACTACATACATTTTAGTAGAAATATTTTCCAACTCTACTGACGATTGATTTTTTCGAAAACTGGTCCTTATAGTATTTACTACTTTAGTTTTGTTTCTTATAAAAAAAGACCACTGCGTATCTTTTTTAAATATTTTTTCGAAGCTGACTTACAAAAAATATTGCACTCATGTCACACCAAGCTATGTAGAGGCATAAAATCTAGTAAGCGCTAATAATCTAGTTGGCAAAAAAATGGAATGTTATGTTAGTGTCTTTGACAATAAGCTTCATAAATTTTAAATTAATTAACGTTCGGGCGTTGATTTAAAGAATTGGGAAGATACGCAACCTAATGGGCAAATTCGCGACAAGACTGATTTGATTCCCCTTTACGTCTCAAGTGCTACACGGTGGAGCCTCTACACATTCTGTGGCCAACGCATAAAACACTCATTTTCTCTAATTCCGCTAGCGAACAGTGTTGCCATATTAAAATGTGTAATCTCTGTAATACGTTTGACGAAAATATCTTTGGACGAAAAATCCGCATTTATGTATTGAAAATGTATTCGTGTTAAACACAGAATAAACAACAAAAAGAAAAATTATTTTATAGGTACTGAATATTTCGTATAATCGAAAAAAGTATGAAATAACAGCGATCTTCATTTCCAAGCTAAGTCTGACGCCGTTCTTTGTTTAATCATATAATTTTATATTGTTTAATTACAGAAAATCCGTATTATTAACATACTGTACCCAAAATCCTTAAATCTACGGATTAACCTGTAGTTCTGGCAACACCGTCTCCGGCAACCATTCACTCTGTCGACTGACAGCAGAACTACGGTACAGCATTCTTTATCCGCTGCGCTGTAAATGGCATTCGGCGCGCAGCGGCTCAGAGCTAAACTAAATCTCGGACAGGCTGACGTTAACGCCAGCCACATCTCGGACATGTTTTGTTCCACGAAATTGTCCATAAGGTTGCGCATCAACGGTTCGGGTTTGTTTTTAGTGATGCCCTCTAACAGACAAACGAAGCACGTTTGTATAAAGGTAAATTGTATGCAATTAACTTATTTTCATTCATAAAATACGTAGTTGAATACTATTATGTTTTGTGTAGATCCTATTTGAAAAAAAATGTCAAAATTATAAAAATATATTCAGAAGAATTTACAAACCTTAAACAACTTCATGATATTAATCTACTTTACTCAATTTTATCGAGCCATCCTGTATATTACTAATCGTTGTATAATTTAATAGGGTCCTTGCAAAAAATGGTATCTTAACAATTAATTATTCAACTAGCGTATTACCTAACATATCCATAAATTTTAATTTATTCATTTATAACGATTTTGTGTCTAGCTAAAGTTCAGCTCAGCCTGACATGGAACGTTCCAAAACCACGCGTAAATCATTAAATCTGTTGTGACGTCATTAGACATAATGTGATTGGTATCAGCTGTTTATCGTACAGTTTTTTATATGCGTAAATATTATTTACTTTTGTTTGTCGGAACATTTAGATACAAAATACTAAAGAAAAAAGTTTATCAATATCGTATTTTCGGTATTCGACTGTACAGGATGGTTAGTATTCAGGGGCTTGGAACACCATCAAAAGGAAATTTCCACTCCCCAACTCCCAGTGGATGACATACCAAGAATGTACAACTTTGAGAAATACCTAATTGTAGTATTGAGCAACAAAAAGGATTGGAAGAGAGAAACGTTTGCTCACAGCAGGTAAAAGACCTTACCATAACGTGGTATACTGATGCTTCCAAAACCAAAGCAGGGATAGGGACAGGATTATTTGGGCCGAAAACTAAATACTCCGAACCAATAGGCACCTACCCCAACATCAGGCAGAAACCTACGCTATCGAAAGATGCGTAGAATTTATCATACTGTCAAGGTATATGGCGACATTTGTCGAGAAGCGGACAAAGTAGGAGAAATTCCAAGCCACACAGCAGAATTTATTGGTAAGGAGGAAAATGCTACAGATAATTTCCGAAACAGCCGCTACAGTATACCGGGTGCGTCTTAAAAGTGGCTCGCCCCTATAACTTTTTTATTTTTTTAGATAAAAAAAACGATATTTGGTATGTTACTTACTATATGACATAAATTAGGATTGATTGACTTATTCAATTGTTTTTGGTCACTTCCTGTTTCACCGGGAATGACTACAACTTTTGATTTTTAAATGGCACCCTAGGTATATTTTTACTTTATTCGATAGAAAACGACATTCTGAAGAGAATGACATATCATATGTCAACTTTTGACATTCTCGCTTAAACAAAAATAATTGTATTTTAAATTTAAATCTACAGTGCCATGGCTGTGTTAAAAACACTAATTTTTAATCAAGGAGCCTTGGAAAAATAGATTTGATCGTCTAATGTTTTTCGTGTCTTGTCCTGGCCGGTTAAAATAAAAAAAAACCAAATCGTATTTTTTTATCATATCTCAATTTTTTCAAATGGAACAAGGGTGGCTCATTAGGATATTCGGAAAAAGCATTTTTTACGAAGAGTTTGATACCACACACTTGGTATTTCGAGTCAAATTTTCGATATAAACCGCATGTTACAATTTCAAATAAACCAAAAAACCAAATGTGCAAAAATGTCAAAAGTTGACATATCTATGTCATTCTATTCAGAGTGCCATTTTCTATTAAATAAAGTAAAAATATGGCGAGGGTGCAATCTAAAAATCAAAAGTTGTAATCATTTCCGGTGAAACAGGAAGTGACCAAAAACAATAATTGTTTTTAATAATTCAATTATTGAATACGTCAGTCAATCCTAATTTATGCCATATACTAACATACCAAATCTCGTTTTTTTATCTAAAAAAATAAAAAAGTTATAGGGATAAGTCACTTTTGAGACGCACCCGGTATAAGCGCTTCCCACGCTCGGCAGTCAGTCACGGAATCCTTAACAATACTTTTACTTTTTACTTATCCGATAGTCAAGCAGCACTCAAAGCGATCAACTCAGTAACCATCAATTCGAAGTTGGCCAAAGAATGCCTAGAGAAGCTGAACAAATTAGGCAAAGGAAATAAAAAAGTCTTCTTACTCTTTGTGCTAGCTCACCAAGGGATAGAAGACAATGAAAAACAAGCGATCTAGCTAGTAAAGGAGCGAAAACTCCACTAACTGGACCAGAAACGTTCTGCTTTCCAAGTGGAAACCAACTCAAAGCGGAACTGAAGAACCTGGAAGACTCCATCCGTAATCTGGAATGGGAATCCCCAACGGTCTAAGGCACTCGAAGAAATTTCTCAGAACTTACGACCGAGAAAAATCAAATATTTTTAGATTATCACGGGGTTTTTAACAGGATACTATTTCCTCAACGACCACTTCAGTAGATTGAAGCTAAAGGCGGGTTCTCACTTGTCAGTTTCGCTGACGCAGTCTGACTGATTCATTATCAATGAAAAATAAAAATCAACGATTGTATTCACACGTTTCATGGTTTGCTACATTCAGTATTCAGTTGGTCCAAACATTTTAACGTGGTGATTTCGCAGACATGAAAATGGTTAAAACAAAATTGAAACCAGGTGTTCGCGAAGTTTGTTTACAATTAGCAAATGAATTACAGAATATTCTGGTGAATCAGAAAAGAAGAAAACTTTTTTTTTAAAGCAGATACGTCTACAAGAAACCGTTGACGTTCTATTTTAACAGAACGTCAACGGTTTCTTGTAGACGTATCTGCTCTATAAAAAAGCGTGTTCTCATAATAGTTTGAATTTAAATATTTTAAATAGTGTTTTTTTCTTTATTCTTTGAATTTTTTTTTTTGCTTCCGACGATAGACTTTCCGAAACGTTAAGCATTTTGTTCTTTGTTAAGCCAATTTGTATAACTGTAAACATAACTTCTGACAAGCAGTGTCCGTTTAGGTTTAACGC